AGACGGAAGCAATTTTCCCGCGCCATCATGCGTAACGCTAACATTTCTGTTAAAGTTCTTCTCCTACCGGAGTGGCCCTTTTTTCCTCTTCTTTTACGTGAATTCACACCGTGAAATAAGGTTTCCTTCTGTTCGTCCGCAGCGCTGCTTTGCTTTAATCGTACGGTATATTCATTCTGCTTCGGCTGGAGAACTCGATTAAGCAGGCTCGATTTTATGCTTCTTCAATTATTCGAACTTCGATTACACGAGATCTTCATTATCCGATGGATCGGACACGTTCGAGGTGTCCGATTGTGGTAGACCGTGTTAATTAATTCGCTGATGGTGTTCGTTAATCGGAACGGCAAACGTTTTAATTTCAAGTGCTCTCGAAACGTAATCTTTTTACACCACTTGCTACTGCGATTCCTAGCTGTGGATTAAAACTTTTTCGCTAATTGTCAAATGATTCGATGAATTATTTATTTTAATTTGTTCAGTTAGTCTTTAAAGCTCTATTCATTTCTATTGTAGAATATTGATTAGGGCTGTCGCATTACACTTGATTAATCACGGTATCTGCGTGCAGTATCTACTCCTACAGGCATGTAGTATCTACTCCAATATCAAACACCCCAAATAGCAATCATCCTATATACCAAACATCGATCTATCGCTTCCAATTGTTTCTCGCAAATATAATGCAAATTTTAAAATTAAAGATCTAAGATCTCATTTCACGCGATTTCGTTTAACGCTTAGTTTCTAGGAATTACCATGCTGTAATAAGAGTTGTAATTTGAAAATCAAACGAATAGTAACGCAATTAGCCATAAGGCTAATAAGCCGAGTTTGTTCCACTCAGCCAATTACATTCACTTTTAAAGGCAATCTCCGCAGCTCCTATATTAATAGAGCTCTAATTTAAAAATCAAACGAATACCGATCTAACAACCAGACCGAATGAACTCGTTCGTTTTCGTTCTCTCGTCGTCACTGTTGATTACCGGGCAGAAACGACCGCCTATTTAGAGCACGATCGTTCCTCCGGCGGAGATCAGAGACGCGGCCGACACGCCGAGTAATTATCCTCGAAACGGAAACGCACCCTAATCCTTGGGCCCTTCTCTCCCGATAGCTGGTGGTCCCGCGTGCACATTAACGGCATGTGTGCCGAGTGCGTGCGACGTGATTGATTTGCTCGGCGTGTGGCTAACTCGAATCAGCCTCGGAGACCAGCCACGTACACGCTCGCGCGAGCCATCTTGTGAACACGCGTGCAAAGACCTCGGTGCACGCAACCCACTTAATTATCTTTGTTTATTTGCCCATTCACGAAAAACACTGATTTTAGTCTTAATGTCTTTGACACTTAACCATTCTTAAAATGGGCTACAATTTTCAGTTTTATTTCTTTCTTTTTGGAACAGAGTTTTTTTGTTTCTGGACTCATCTTTTCTTTTTGCCAGTACGAGTACTATTTGATAGTTGTAGTACTGATAGTACTTGGTTGTAGTACTATCTGATAGTACTTAATTGTAGTACTATCTGATAGTACTTACTTGTAGTGCTATCCGATAGTGCTATCTGATAGTGCTATCTGATAGTACTATCTGATAGTACTTGCTTGTAGTGCTATCCGATAGTGCTATCTGATAGTGCTATCTGATAGTACTATCTGATAGTGCTTACTTGTCGTGCTATCTGATAGTACTATCTGATAGTACTTGCTTGCAGTGCTATCCGATAGTGCTATCTGATAGTACTTGTTTGCAGTGCTATCCGATAGTGCTATCTGATAGTGCTATCTGATAGTACTATCTGATAGTACTTGCTTGTAGTGCTATCTGATAGTACTATCTGATAGTACTTACTTGTAGTGCTATTTGATAGTAGTATCTGATAGTACTATCTGATAGTAGTATCTGATAGTACTTACTTGTAGTACTATCTGATAGTACTTAATTGTAGTACTATCTGTTGAACAACTTGTATCGAAACAATGCCACCAGCATAAAAATAAGAACTTCCCTGAGGTATTTAGAAACGCCTTCAAGACGAAGGCGATCAACTTTTTGCAACGCTGCCTACTAATGAGCAAACACTCTCGAGATATAGCTGTCTTTAATATCACTTTGCTGGTATTAATATTCAAGAGTCACGGTGCTCAGGATTTCAACATGAGCATTTAGTATTCGATGATTCTGATTTGCAAGCCAACGGAGCGGTTTATTGCCGCCATAATTTGCAATTAGGATAATAGAATGACATATTGCTATCACGATGATTAATTTCTTGTTTAAGTGGAACATTAAGCGGAGTCAAATATCCAATAAAATTACATTAGCCATTCAAATTAATTCTGTAACTGATAGTTTGTTTGAGCAGATAATTAAGCATAAATAGTGCGGATCGTTGTAGTAGGTGTGTTTATCGAATCTTATGTATTTTAAATGTTGTGGTGATGTATTATTAAAACCGCCATTTTGTATGGAGATGCTGCACGATGACAATATTAAAACTGTGCGTGGACAAAGTTTATATAGTTGGATTCTCTGTAATTCTCGAGCTTTTGAAAATTTACGTGGACATTAAAAGCAGAGATTCATGGAACGCATCGTTTATTAGTCGTTTCAGAAGACTCGATACGCGAGCGTTTTCAACGAAGCACGGAAATACGAGTACATATACCTTCTAGGATCCTTTGATAGATCGTTCATGGGTTAATGTTAGGCTCGTAACAAAACCATGATACTGGGAATATAAGGATGAACCTTCCGATTACGTGCGTTTACCGTGGCGAGAATAAAGAACACGAATAAAGTACGTGCTCGTTACGACACGGAATCTCCTCGTAAAGTTTTTATGTTTTTGGTTCTGATTCTGGTTCTTACATGTATACCGAGTTAATTACTTCGTAGTAGAAATGATATACAATTCAGGCCGTAACTCGATGCTTGAATATCGTGTTGTTTGTTTTAAATGCGGGAAAAACAAAACGAGCCTAACTTGGACTTCTCTCCTTTTAGTGCACAAGTAATAATAAATATGCAAGTTGGAAATTGTTCATCCACTCAATAAGAAAATAATTTTTCTTTTATAATCTCGTGACTCTCCTATTTTTAATTTAGTAATTTAACAAAAAATATCGAAGGTTTAATAGAAAGAAAATCTTTTCAATTTTAGAAACGATTTCATTGTTAAAAGTTGTGGGATATAAAAAGTATTATTACACACCATTCTTTATGCAATATATCATGTATCATACAATGATAAAGTATCATCCACTGCTAACTTCCTATTGACTACTAATCTCACTAGTCAGATAGTCATTCACTATCTTACCAATTACTGGTTACTTGTATCGACAGCTGTAAATGAAAATAACTGTAAAGCAGACAAGCTACACTTTTTAGTTAGGTCGATATGCAGCTGTTTTACACTCTTTTGAAATTGTAGTTTCGTTAATTCCCCGCAGCGCCACTAGATAACGTCACGTGTCTTGTTCCGCCATCTTGCGGTAGAAATGAGAACTAATTAAACCGCAGTTTCAAAAGTGTGTAGTTCACCCTGTTCGCCGGAGAGATGGCGCCACTTGTACTATTTTCGTAAAAATACAATTAATATTGATTTTATTGATTAATATGCTATATATATTTATCACATATTTATTACTATTGATTTTATGCTGTTTGCAATATATCCCGAGGATCCTAAAATGCGTATTATCTATTCAGTTCGCACACTATATTGTCCACCATCGGGAATATAGAGAATCATCATTGGAATAGTAAAATTTTTCGTTCGAGTTTTAATCTTTAGCACTGATGGCGCTGTGATACAATTTTAGATGAAGTAGGTTGTGACACTTGAATAATAAAGATGTCTCTTACATCGTGAAGCAGAATTGTATTTCGTGATAAGTCTATTCTATATCTCATCCACGGTAACCTAACATTGCAAAGTCTAGTTAAATCTATTCTATACCTCCTCTATGGTTATACAAATATATTTATTTACATTGTATGCCATTTAATTAATAAGATTAACATTAACGTAAATAGTAATATTTTGTACTCGATATTATTCTGCTGTTATGTTATTAATAAGATGATGGGTACAAACTTTATATTTTTGAGAAATCTTAGCATAACCTATATATAAGCAAAACGGTATGTATTTTCCTATGTATGTAAATGTTGTATTATACAGATTTTAACTAAAAATAGTAGACTAATAGAAGTTTTGATATATGCATTTATATAAATTTATATCAACAATACTTATACTAAAGAATTTATTATTAAACTTTGATTTAGAAACTGTCTTGAGTTTCTAAATTATAAATACTTAATAATTTGTGATTTGTTTATTACAGATATATATTATTTATATTGACAAATATATGTAACAGAAATGGAAGAATTGGAATTAACTGAGGAACAGAAAAAATTTTTAGAAGAATGTGAAGAAGAATTCAAAGACCGTTACACAGAAAAAGATAGTGAATTTATGAAAATGAAAAATATGAGTTTAATAACACCACCAATTGTTGAAACATGGCACAGTAGAGATCGCAGCAGACCATATGGACGGCATTCACATCATCAAAATTGGCGCAAAAGGAGATACTAGACATTCATTTTAAATATTGTTTCTTTTCATAACTCCAACTCACATTAATATTTGTACTTGTATAAATAAACATTTTTTAATGAATTTCTTGAGCAACGGATGTATTTATTTCTTTAACAATTATGAAATCTTAAGAGAATTCTGACAGATGATTGACATTCAAACACTATACAATTAAGATTTAGGTTATATAAGCATGGTGACTTAACAGTAAAAATGTATGAAAATATTCAAGTTTAAAAACAAGTAATCTGTCGGTGATTTATTAAAAATTTAATGAACAAAATTTATGTTATTCGATAAAATTTTATTTCTTAATAACCATTCTGTCAAGGGCCCTATAAACTCTAGTTACGGGTCTGGTAACAGTAATAATATAAATTTAAAATGCCTCGATGCACATGTATATAATGTTCGTATGTATTAAATATGATGATCAGCTGTTACAGTGTAACTGCGAAACACGTGTTGCTTTTGTTTTCATTTCATATTATTAAAATTGATTGAACAAAGGAAGGCTGCAATATGCTGTCGCTGTATGCTTAAATATATCGTTTCAATTGAAAGAAAGATTGCTAGTTAATGAAGTACTTAGTCACGCTAAATCTTCGGGCAATATCTATCATTGACTGAATTAAACAGTGTATACTTCGCAGTCATTTAACTGATCATGTACTTTCACGTTTTATTTATTGGTCTATATCTAATTCCCAAATTTAAATTACTTGCGTACTTAACGTGTAACAGTATCTGATATGTGCATATTCAGTAAACATCTGCGATGACGCATGGATCAAAAGTTTTTCAGTTTGTAATGATAGATTTACTGTGTCTGGGATACTCTCAAACGTGTATGTGCATACATTTTTAAAGAAAATTATCAAGTGTGAAGTACTATATTGTAGCAGATTATATTTATATCTAACCTTCTTTTTTGTTTTATAGAGGTGAATAAACTTGTATTTCCTGTTTTTAAAATTCGAAATCGTAAAATATGTGCGCATTTTGTGTCTTTTATAAATATATGAATATATTGAGAATCTTGTAAAATGTACAAGCAGTGAAACATTCTAAATCTATACCTCATCATCAAATGATATTTTATATTTTAAATTAAAGAAATTAAATCTTATATTCAAACATTCAAAATAAAAAATTTATAATTATATAAATATTATACTTTTTTTTTTAATGGATTGGTGCAAGAAGTTACTTCATAGAAGGTAAAATAAAATACAATATGTGTGGATGTTTAATTTTTTGTATTATTAAAGCATTGAAATTCTTTTAATATAGGAACACTATTCCTGTGGACGATGATCTGGAAACTGTTAGCGAAAGAAAAAAGCGATGGAGGAGCATCTATGTTATATATTTTACTATGTTTCTCATGTCTCTTGGTTTCAGTATTATTCTTACCGGAGTATGGCCATATTTGGATAAGGTAAGTACAATGAAGAAATACAAGAGTGATTCACAATGTATAATAATGTAATACAATTACAGTTAGATAAAACAGCTGGTAAAGAATTTATGGGATACGTGGTTGCAGCTAATCCGCTAGGGCAAATGCTGTTTTCACCTCTTGTAGGTTGGTGGGGAGACAAAAGAAAGTCGATAAGAGCTCCTCTTTTAACAACAATAGCTCTTTTTATATTTGCATCAGGAATGTATAGTGTTCTTGAAGTTCTTCCGGGTAATCGAAAAATGCTCATGGTGGCTGCTAGATTTTTGGTTGGAGTTAGCTCTGGTTAATAATTCATCTAATGTTACTGTTATCAAACACCATCTGCATCTCTGTAATGCATTCATATTTTATTTTTAGCTAATATTGCCGTAGCAAGGTCCTATCTTTCTGCAGCTACAAAATTTGCTGAAAGAACGCATGCTGTATCTATGGTGTCTCTTGCACAGGTAATACAATTTAATCTCTTCCCTCAAGTTAAGTTAATAATGCTTGTTATACAATCTGCTTTAAAACTTGTTAGGTATTAGGATTTGTGGTAGGACCTGGTTTACAAGCAGCAGTTACACCTCTTGGAGAGAATGGTTTTTATTTTATAAATTTACCTATTAATATGTATACTATGACTGGTTGGATAAATGTTATTATGGGAGTTCTTAACTTTGCTTTATTTCTTCCATGGAATTTCACGGAATATAGGATAGCTATTCGTGAAGCTATGAGAAATGAAGGAAAGCAAACAGGTAAAATGTAGAATAACAGCAAATATAAATAGATTTTAGTTACCTTACTGAGCAATTTGTATATCATCTACAGAAGAAGAAACGTTGAGGAGTATAAAACCTGACTATGTAGCAACTTGGACATTGATATGTGCTTTTTTTGTCTTAGTATTTAATTTCGTTCTTATTGAAACGTTAGTACATTAATTTTGATTGATATCATTTATTTTGTAGATATCGTATTTTACATTTTTTTATTCCCTTATGTAGACTTAGTACATCTTTAACCATGGATCAATTTGCTTGGTCAAAATCAGAAGCTTTATACTATATTGGTATAGTAATGAGTGTTGGTGCCATTGCATCCTGTGTCACATTTGTTATGATTGAACCTTTATGCAAAAGGTATATATTTGTTACATAAGTATGTTGTAAACAATTGTTGTATTTATTTCTAATATATTTTTTTTAGATTTAATGAACGTAAAATAATGTTGTGGGGTGGATTCCTGTTTATGATAATAGGAAGAGTACTTTATATTCCATGGGGGCCTGATCCACCACAAATTGCTTATGTTGAACGTAAGTACTTCTGAAAATTTATTTTAGATGTAATATTTTTTTGAACTTTATATTTTATAGAGTATAGCAATATGACAGAGGGTGTCAATAAAACAGATATCTTAGGATGTCCAAGTACTCAAAAATGGTGTTTCTATACACCGCGACTCACGATTTTACAATGCATTATTGGATTTGGATTCACTACTATAGGTTATCCATTAGGTGTTACTTTAATACAAACTATCTTCAGTAAAGTATTAGGACCGCGGCCGCAAGGCGTTTGGATGGGATTCATGACAGGTGCTGGATGTGCATCTCGTGTATTAGGTCCAATATTTGTTAGCGTGATTTATACTCGTTTTGGCCCATATCATACAGCTGGTATTACCGGTTTAATTTTAATATTATGTATGTTATGGCTGCAAATTATAAATAAACGATTGATTCCGCCTGATGGATCTGTTGTAAAGGTTGCCAAAGATATCGATGTTGAAATTCCGTTGGTTCATTTGAAACCTAATGATGCTCAAGAATTAAGTGATACACAACAAAATAGCAGAATAGAGGAACGCGATAAAATGTAACAATCGCTCTGCTTGAAGTGCAATTTTACTTTTATAATTATGTGTAAGAATATATCTACATATATGTATATGTAGACTGCCATTCAAAGTTGATAGAATTATATCATAAAATGTATTTTTTTGACGAATGTTTACAGATTTTTAATATATATTTTACACGTATAAATATGTAAATTGTAAATGAATATTCTTACGAATAATCAAGCAATATGAACAAATCATGTGATTTGAACAATGCAAACAAATCATTACAGGAATTAATTTGCTCAATATAAAATTAGTTTATTTCCATATTGGAATAATATAAGATTGCAAAATAAAAATGTTTTAATGATATTAAATATAATATCTGCTGCTAATAAAAATATCTAAGTTAAGTTAGGTTATGTATACAAAATTATATGTGAAAAATGCAAATTTTTACGATTTTGTGACTACTATAGACAGGAAATTGTTTATATGTTTTGAGTTTCAACAAATATTTATATCAGAATGTAAAGACTGATATTAATAGCAAACATCTTCCGTCGAACAAATTATATTTGATTATACTTGCCAGGATCAAATAACATAAATTTTAAAAATATAACAATTTCTTTATGTTGATTTTATTTATTCAAACTTTTTATAAAAAAAATGTTATATTAATTTGTATAATTAAGGATTTGGATAAAATAAAAATGATATATTCGTACATTTGTAGAAATTAAATTTGCTTTAATTCCATTTCATAGAAATTAATATAAAAATTTACTTAGTGGAAAAAATCGTAATCAAATTGTCCTTTGATCGTGTAAATAATAATTATTACATTTTACAATTTTTATTATGAAAATCGTAAAACATTCAATTGTATTTGTATCTATTATAGAATTATTATCTATCATATCCACCTATGACGTTACTCTTAATACAGGTTGAGAATCAAATTTTTTATATAAAATGAAACAAATTACTATAAATACATACATTTTGAATGAATGCATGTTCTTATAGTATATTGTAGTACTATTATAAGTTATAAAAAAACCATTAACACATGTCCTTAGAAATAAACGGCAAAATTGCTTCACGTTTCATATAAATTACATTTACAATTATAATTAGTCTTTTTTCTTTGGCTTTTTAGGATTACGCGATCGGGATTTAGCTTTACAAAGAGGACATATCGGTGCGTTTCTATGAATTTGTTGATGACACGATAAACATGATTTCATAGGTGGTGGTTGTTGCCTAAAAACAAAGAAATACAGTAGAATAATAATATGTAATTACACTTGTTTCTATTTCTGAACCCATTTGTATCCGTCATTGGAATATTATGCACATGACAATCGGTACTTATTCCGCAAGCTTCGACTTTCATTAATCAGTGCTGATGTCTGAAGTCAGTAGTATAAGTAGAATCGTGATGCAAATGGGTTAATGTTTCTCTTGAAGACAATTTTATAAAATCATGTATATTTCACCTTTAGAGTTTAGCAAGATATTTTAAGGTCTTAAAAATTTGTTTCCAAATCTTAATATAAAATTATAATTGCATACAATAATAGAATATTAGATAATATGAATTAAAACGACCTTAATGAATTCTTAGTGATATTGCTTATGTTTCAATAATGAGCTTTATACTCTAATGGTTGATATAACTAATTTGATAAATTATATCAGATTTACATGCATTGTTTAATATATAAATATATGTATGTAATATAAAATCGCGATATACCAGTGGTACCTGAATGTTGGAGCTGGTGGACCCGGGGCTGGTGGTAATGGTCTTGGTTCTGGCTTACTTGGACCCTGAAGAGGTTGAGGTGCAAGAAAAGGGGTGGAACCACCTGGATGACCAGGATGGTGTAAAGTAAGCGGAGGTAATAAATCATCTCCTCGTACTTCTACCCTCCATTCTGCTTTTTGCATGGGACGTTCAAAATAACTATAAATAAACAATTTATACAATTACCAAAGAATTCAAAATTGCTTATACTTTCCTGTAATTAATTTAAGAAAAGAAACAAACTCTGGCGAAATAAGATCAGATTCTGTTTCATATAATTCTGGTAATCTCTCCAAACCCAAAAATTCTCTGCGCATACGATCGACATCATGTTTTAAAGGTTGATACTCGTTATTATGAATCAACTTAGCAGTTTCCCTTGCTTTATTCCTAGCTTCCTCTGCTTGTTTAATAACAGCTTCCATCTGAAAAGATTACATATGACATTGTTTATTAAATATATCACATTAAGGACATGTTTTATTATACCGCATTAATATCTGCATGTATTTGTCGTAATTCTTCGACATGTGCCATTTTCTCTTGCATAAGGAGATCCATTTCCTGTTTATATTCTAATAAACATTTTTCTTCTTGTTCAGTCTGTTCTACCTCTTGCAATATCCTTTGTTTCATTTTCTCCAATTGTAGGGTCTTCGTTCTGACAAAATATACAAATTTCATTTTAATTCACGCAAATATTTGACAAGTATATATTCTACTCTAACGCAGACTGATGTGTTCAGTATTATGTAAAGGTGTTTCGCTATTTGTATATCTTTCAAACATTTCATTGAATTCTAAAGAAAAGTGTTCAGAAGTAAACACATTTAAGTACTTGATATCTTTCAACGCCTCCAGTTTAGCAAAAATAACTGTAGTTTCTGTGACTGACATCGTTAAACGGTATATTTGACACTTTTTGTTTAGACCAGCTTTGTCAAACGGAAGTCAACTCGTTTATTAAATAAACGCCGCGAATTCAGGAGTGTAGTTCCTTTTGTCAAGGCATCATGTACAATATATTTGAGAAAGAATCGTTTCAATATTACGTATTTAACGCTTTCATCTGGAATCGAACGGAATCGTCTCACTTCTAATTATATTTTTAAAAATTAACCAACAGCATTGACACATAACACAATGAACATAATTTGTGTCATGAACTATAATCATAAACATGTTTCCGTAGATCAGACAACAAGTATTCGAGTGCGGTCGACGCGAACGTCATCTGACGATGCATTTATAAGATAGGATGGAAAGACTGGTAAGTTTGAAATTTAAACTGCAGTAAAATAGAATTGGGCATTATTTGAACATCTTCAAACTAGAATGATGTTTAAGGATAATATATAAATTTTTCAAGGAGAATTAATTGAAAGAATGAAACAAAGAAGTTACTTCATAAGTTAATTTGAATGATGCCTAATTCTGGCTTAAAATAAACCTGACGTTAATTAATATTATTCATGTTATTGAAAATATTAATAAATCGGGATCATTACTCATCAAAGAAGAAAATCAGGAAATTATAATTTATAATCAGTTTCCTCAAACGCATTAAAATATTTAAAAATCTTCCATCAACTAATGTTAATTTTATATCGAGGTCTAATTTCGCAACAAAAAATCTGAAATACCACTCAACATAAAATAAGAAACCCCATTTTCCTGGTCTCTTTCATAATCATTAGCATATTTAGACAAGCCCGGGTAACATCAATAGTCCCAAGTTTCCAAGATCGTTTAACGTTTGATATTTATCGCGCAACCAAGAATCTTTGTTATCAGCTTCTACACGAATGGTTATATCTAGCTCGGTGAAATTACATATCGACCTTCCCGGCAGAGTGGCATGAAGCCGCTATCTCCCTCTGAAAGGATTTCCACAACGATTCATCGGGAATCGTGGTACCTTAGTCAGCAATCAGTGATCGAGCATCGATGGAAGCGACCAACGCGTTGTCTGTGTTTAATCGCTGTTCAAAGATCATCATGTCTGGAAGAATAATTATTCGAGCGTGCTCAAAGATGATTAGCAGTTCGCTCGGAGCTGCTACCATATTCATGGCGTTATCCGTTGCCATTTTTGACGGTGCGAAAAGAACGTGACCATGACCGATAATCAGAAGATTGTGCGTTCTGCGTACAAGTTTGGAAGAATGAACCGTAATCATTGGCGTAATTAGATTATGGTGATAAATGGTTGCGTAGAAATTTTCGAATTTTTGCAATTTTAAAGGTTCTATCTTAATTGCTCTGTCAGTTTCTAAATTTTGAAGTTCACAAGTTTTCTGATCCTCGAGTTCATAAATTCCTGTACTCCCAAATTTTTGAGTCTCTCAAATTTCTACACTGTCACTGAATCTTCCCAAAATTCGAAGACATTAAAACAGTGAAATGGTGGAACGTTGCGACTGTCAGCAAAGGTAGGGGACCTTTGCCAAACAAGAATCTTAGTTACGCCAATGATGTCAACAGGCGAGATATCCTCGGTTCGCAGCGAGATAGGGAAGTCCAATCAGTTTCATGGAGCGTCTCGTATCCCGGCAGACGAGTTGTTGACCTAACTTTGACAATAATCCAGATAAGAGAACGTCGGAAAAATGCTGCGCTGCCCACGACGGCCTCGCGTCTCTCCCCCAACTTTTCATCGCGTCGCACCGGTCGCTGCATCGTTCCTCCTCCTCCTTTTTCTCCTCCTATTACTTAATATCGGGTACAAACTTGTGCCGTTGCTGCTGCTCCGTATGACTAAACACTGACAAACTTTCGAGTGTCTGAAGCTCCGCGAGCTGTGAAATATAGGACAAAGGAGAGTGCCTCGACGGCGCGGCGTTAAGTCGAGCGGTTTCGACGGCCTCCTCGCCCCGCGATCTACGCGGAGGGGAAGCATTTTTCCGCTTTAACGGCAGCCACTCCGTTCTCGGACCAAGTGCATTAGACGAGTTTCTACGTGGCAGCATCATGGGGTCCAGGATGGGGTCTAGAATGTAAGTAATTCATACGGACACGTGTTTTTCACGCAGTTAACAGAGTTCACCCTTCTTCTTCTTCCGACGCTATTCACGCCTGGCGCGCGTGAAACAACGCCTGATCTTAGGGTGCGTTTATACCGAGCGACCGTTCACCTCGCTTCGAATTTAAAAACATTTTGAGGATCACTTGACGAGTGCTCGCGAAAAACGTGCTGGTCGAATCAATTCGACTCGATTTGCCAAGATTCAATTCTGCGCGATTTTATTCGACGCGGTTCGGTTCAGTGTAATTCGATTCGACGCGATTCGATTTGATACGTTTCCACACAACTTTTGACTTTTTCGGTTATTACGCGTTTTTGAAACTGTATTTAGAACTCGCGGGGTTTTATCGAAAATCGAAGAAAATTTAGTAGGAGTTTCGAACGAGATTAAAGCTGGTGTAAACACTTATACGAAAGTGATCAAACGTCATTTCATGCATTTCGAGCGTGAGAACTTTGTTCTTTGTCCACTTCCTCGATACCGATCGTTTCATTTTCATCGATAAGCTCCCCGACAGATTGCGAGACATTTTACAGAAATACAAACAAGTTTTTAGTCATAAATCATCTAAAAATAATGTCAGCCATTGTACTCTTTGTGATTCGAGCGGAATCATCGTCGGGTAGAGCGCGTACATATTTATCAGGCTGTCGCAGACGTCCGCTGATCGCGCGCCTGTTTTTATCTGCCCGTCGATTTTCTCTTTTTCAAAATACCATGACCACGATGCACCACACTTTCGATACGAATAAAATGAGCACAACTACCGCTCGATGTTTACCTTCAATTTGTCGTTGATTCCTTGAAAACGATTCGCACTAAATTGATAATTACAAGGTTGTTTTTCTCCAGTCACGATTATGTATCTACAGGTCGAAACGGCAGCCACTCCGTTCTCGGACCAAGTGCATTAGACGAGTTTCTACGTGGCAGCATCATGGGGTCCAGGATGGGGTCTAGAATGTAAGTAATTCATACGGACACGTGTTTTTCACGCAGTTAACAGAGTTCACCCTTCTTCTTCTTCCGACGCTATTCACGCCTGGCGCGCGTGAAACAACGCCTGATCTTAGGGTGCGTTTATACCGAGCGACCGTTCACCTCGCTTCGAATTTAAAAACATTTTGAGGATCACTTGACGAGTGCTCGCGAAAAACGTGCTGGTCGAATCAATTCGACTCGATTTGCCAAGATTCAATTCTGCGCGATTTTATTCGACGCGGTTCGGTTCAGTGTAATTCGATTCGACGCGATTCGATTTGATACGTTTCCACACAACTTTTGACTTTTTCGGTTATTACGCGTTTTTGAAACTGTATTTAGAACTCGCGGGGTTTTATCGAAAATCGAAGAAAATTTAGTAGGAGTTTCGAACGAGATTAAAGCTGGTGTAAACACTTATACGAAAGTGATCAAACGTCATTTCATGCATTTCGAGCGTGAGAACTTTGTTCTTTGTCCACTTCCTCGATACCGATCGTTTCATTTTCATCGATAAGCTCCCCGACAGATTGCGAGACATTTTACAGAAATACAAACAAGTTTTTAGTCATAAATCATCTAAAAATAATGTCAGCCATTGTACTCTTTGTGATTCGAGCGGAATCATCGTCGGGTAGAGCGCGTACATATTTATCAGGCTGTCGCAGACGTCCGCTGATCGCGCGCCTGTTTTTATCTGCCCGTCGATTTTCTCTTTTTCAAAATACCATGACCACGATGCACCACACTTTCGATACGAATAAAATGAGCACAACTACCGCTCGATGTTTACCTTCAATTTGTCGTTGATTCCTTGAAAACGATTCGCACTAAATTGATAATTACAAGGTTGTTTTTCTCCAGTCACGATTATGTATCTACAGGTCGAAATAAGGAGATTTAGTTCACACTGCGTATGAGTGATTCAGCTTAGGCTTTCTCTTATCATTTCCTTTGGAAAGATTAGCGAGCTTATAAGAATGTGATGTCGTAAGTTGGGGATCTTTAAGATGTTGAATTAGCGGGTTGCAAATTTTTGAGAGGTTAAGTTTTTGGTTGGGGAATTTTCGAGGGCTCAATTTTCGAATTTGGGAAGTTGGGAAGTTCTGGAGACTCGAGGTGTTATTCCTAAATTTCCGAATTCCCAAATCACCGAATTTCCAAATTACCGAATTTCCAAATTACTGAATTCCCAAATCACCGAATTCCCAAATCTCCGAATTCCCAAATCCCCGAATTCCCAAATCACCGAATTCTCAAATTACCGAATTACCAAATCCCCGAATTCCCAAATCCCCGAATTCCCAAATCACCGAATTCCCAAATTTCCGAGTTCCCACATCCCCGAATTCCCAAAACCCCGAATTCCCAAATTATCGAATTCCTAAATCCCCGAATTACCAAATCCCCGAATTCCCAAATCACCGAATTCCCAAATTTCCGAGTTCTCAAATTACCGAATTACCAAATCCCCGAATTCCCAAATCACCGAATTCCCAAATTTCCGAGTTCCCACATCCCCGAATTCCCAAAATCCCGAATTTCCAAATTACCGAATTCCCAAATCCCCGAATTCCCAAATCCCCAAATTCCCAAATCACCGAATTCTCAAATTACCGAATTACCAAATCCCCGAATTCCCAAATCACCGAATTCCCAAATTTCCGAGTTCCCACATCCCCTTTCCCAAATCCCCAAGTTTCAATCCCCCAACCTCCCAAAATCCCCCAAAAACCCAAAAATCTCGAAATCTCAAGCTTCCAATTTCCCAACCCCCAAATTTCAACCCCCAAAACCTCCAAAACCCTCAACGTCCCTTCTTAACCTTCCAAAAATTCCTAAAACCCCGCAAATAGTGGCACGAAGAGTTTCAAGGCCCCAGCGGCCATCTTGAAAAGACCGTGTAAATGCAACATGATCGTGGTAATTCGTAGACAGCGACGAGTACTAGTTACGGATTCGAAAGCTGTTTAAGGCTCGATTTATTCGAAGGCGAATGCGTGACTTTGTCTCGAATGCGTGTTAGTCACGTTTCCACGAGGTCGCGAACTTCGTGCGTTCGTGATTCGCATTTTCCTCGCGTGATTTTTCCCCGAGTTTCATGGTGGACCGTCACGAACGAGGACGGTCCAGGGTTTGGTCAGGCCCATTTACCTTGTCATTATGCTTGTCTGACTAATTAGCACGGGTTTTAGAATCACCGACCTTCGAAATGTTTGTACGACTTAACTTGTGTTTGCGGAACGTTTAGGAAGAACCGTTTTTTTTAATCATTTAACACTTTGATGGCTGTATTCGATTTTTGTAGTTTTAAGAATTATAGGTTGGTCTTTGTATGAGATTGCATTAATTACTCGTATTAATTGCATTGCAAAATCAATACTTTCGGACTTTTAAAAATTACAGATTGCTCTTTGTATGAGATTGAATTAATTACTCGTATTAATCGCATTGCAAATTCATCGAATTGTAATCACTCACCGGCGACCATACTGGTGTGAGTAATTGATTCGTGACCGAAAGAAAAATGAATACTTTCGATTTCGGTCATTAAACTCGTAACCGTTGAAATATTTACCAGTGACCGAGCGATAATAAAAAAGGCAAACAACGGGATCGAGGAAAGATTTGCAATAAAAGAAAACGCGTAAGGAGGTCGACAATTGTTCGTTGCGCAAATATTTGTGGGCTATTCGAGTTTGTCGAGGTAAATAACGGTGATACCGAGAAGGAGAAAAAATAAATCGGAAAGTAGGAGATAGTGGCAGGGAAATAAAACGGATGATAATAGACTTTTATCGTGGCCATTGAAGAAAATGCATTCATTGTGCGAACGACATTCTGTTTGCACGACGACAACCCGTAATTTGTTTAAAATTTCGACCGTCGATCGTTCGAGCAATCTTGACGATCGTCGATCTTCGAGAACGCAAATTCTTCGCAAACAAATATCGTGACCTAAAATTTCCATGATAGCAGTACTATCGTGTTTAAATGTCGGTCAATGTTGCAAAATCGAGTGACCTTTCTAGTGGACGAACTTCATCTGATCGATCATGAAGTTTTTAGTTAGACAAGTATATGATTATAAAGATTTTAGTTACAGGTATAAGTCAAGGTGTTATAATCCCTAGGAAGAATAATGATATGGCAGAAAATCATCGCTTGAAAATATTTGGGAGTTATTATGTACACTCAGGTCCAATACATTAGTTAGCATTAGTCACTTAGGCTTTCCCTAGGTTATTTGATCACATTCTCCTTGAGTTTCACTGAGTTTCAGCGCTGTCTCGGCTTTCTAAGTTTTTCTTGGGTTCCGTCTATGTAGACCGTAAGTTTTCTAGGTTAGGGAGGTCTAAGGTCTCCTAAGAGGTGAATCACTCCTATTCTACGTTACATTCAAATCAAGATCCAGATCTCGGAAACTTCATAATCATATAATAATACAATAGAAGATACACGAAGATAACTGTCGTAATATACTTTTTCAAGTGTTCGATATCTTATCGTATGATAAAGCGATTTAGGTTGAGGATCTGTCAATTGTATCGACACGGTTTCTCTTTCTTGATCAGCTTCAAACGCCTCTGCAAAATTTGTATCTTTTCTAACTTTTAATATTTGCAAAAATCATGAGTTGAATAAAATATACGGTTGCTGAAGAATTGTCTAAAAATTGTCAACACAAATATTGACACGATGACGAATGACTAAAAGGGAGGCAAGGTTATTGATACGGTAGACAATCCGTGTTCTTGTGCTCTTTACGTTATCGCTTTCCTATTATGATATTTACATAACACGATTTCGCTGAACATATTAAACATCTTGAATCAGCGCTAGAATGTCAATTACTAATTTTATTTCTACCGGAAAGTAATTAAAAACGCAGCCTGCGTTGACTGAAATGAGCCAATCGATAGTTTTAACGTTACCGACGTTACGTGACGGATTTTCCTTTTTTTTTTTATCATGTTTCTATCCGTTACGAGATCCTTCGATCAATCTTTAGAAACACGTTTTCGAAAAAAAGAGGAAAGCACGCGGATGTAATTGTGCACCGATATCGACCACGCAATCGGAACGATAGATTGCACCTATCTAATTGAAACGTCGGTGCATTGTACATCGGAAGAGTCGTAAACATCGGGCACAAAATCCGACGAGAAACACGCAAATCAATTTCAAACGAATCGAACATTTTCCGCGCGTGTATTTATTCGTTTCAATTATTAACGCAGTGTAATTTCAACTTTTCCATTATGAAAATCGAACGAGGTCGGACTCCATCGATTCACAATCGCATACAATGCACTTCGAATGAATACAATTTCTTTATTTTAATCGACTCGAACAAAGGAGGTCATTCAACTTCATATTTTATACGATCTTATCTTTTGAATAACCGATAATGTAAATCGCTTCGCAAGACGAACAACGTGTCTATTTTATAACACATAAGACGCACCAGGTGAGTCATGGTACGTCGATAATGCAGAATGCACATGCACTGCAGTACGTAGGGTAGATAATGTAGGACACACAAAGTGTCTTACAATTTGTTTTGGATAAAAATGTAAGACGTATAATGTACGTCGCAAAACCAGTCTATGTATGACATAGACATAAGTGGTATCTTCGTGACAACGAACGATTATCGTGAAAATTGTGATTTCTTCGAAACGATCTTTCGTGACGTCGTTTTGACGGTTCCCGCTGAAAATCGGAGCGTTTCCCGCGTGGAAATGCCAGCAGATAACGCTGCAGATAAGGGAGAACGGGTGAACGTTACTCGGCTCGCGAGTATTTTTGTCTTATTCAGTTCATCGAAAACAACCGAGGAAAAATCAAATAAAACTGGTTTACGCCGGTTTACACCGGATGCGACAACTTGGTTACAACTATCGAGAGCTGGTTTATTGTTACATCGAACGCTGGGTGTAGCACGCTGATACGAAAATCGGTATCGCGCGATACGATCG